TGGAAAGTGGTTGGTTGGTTTCCTTTCTGTCACCAAAATGCCACTGATTTATTTTTTCTCTTGCCTCCTTTTCAAACAGGCCCTCAGCCCACTGCAGCATACCCATTTACAACTATTTCTAAATGTTCCCAAGGGTTTTACATGTGCTCAAAAGAACTGGTCCTGTTAGGCACCTTGTTGGTTCTCTGTATCCTAACCATTCCATTCTTTCCTGTGGGCATCTTTGGGCTAGCTCTTGTTCACTGAACACCTTAGAGACAGCTGTGTCCATCTGTGCCCACCTCATGTTGGAATCGTGGTCTCTGCCTGTGCTCTTATGGTGATGCTCCAGGCCAGCAAGGGCCCTGATGGGACCAGAACAAGGCTTGTTCTGTGCAGAAGTGGGGAGAATACCCAGGCTCCCCACTGGGTCAACCTGTAGAGGATCTAAGCCATGTTGCATGTGTTCCTGCTGAAAACAGAGCTTTTCATTTCTTTCAGCACCTCTTCTTTCCCTACGGCTCAGGCGCAGGCTTTTGGGATGGGACAGATACCTTTCTGTCTTCTCCATTTCCTCATTTCTCTTCCTGAGCTTCACTGTATAGCAGAGGCTAGGGGTTCACCTGTTTACTGAAAAGTGTCAGGCCAAGCGCAATAGTTCATGCCTGCAATCCTAGCACTTTGGGAGGCATAGGTAGGGAGATTGAATAAGGCCAGGAGTTCGAGACCAACCTGAGCGACATAGTGAGACCCTGTCTATAAAAAAGTAGAAAAATGAGCCAGATGTTGTGGCACACACCTGTGGTCCTAGCTACTTGGGAGGCTGAGGCAAGAAGACAGCATGAACCCAGGACTTTGAGGTTGTATTGAACTATGATGACATCACTGCACTCTAGCCTGGGCAACAGAGTGACACTTTGTCTCAAAAAAAAAGTTTCAGTTAAATGGGGTCTTATAAAGAATGATACATGTATGTATAAACATTTTAATTTAAAACAGAAATATACATTTAAAAAAAAACCACTCGTAATGCAAAATGCCTTTTCTTTGCGTAGAGATCACAAATTGGAGTTCTTTCCTCTTTCTTATATAATCCAAACTTTAATGCATATCTATGGGCTTTATTTCATGAAAAAAACCCATTTATATGAAATGAAGGATGTTTAAAGATATTTTTCCTAAGCTCCTAGAGGAGTCTTGCCTACACCTAATTTTCTTTCTTTTTCTTTTTTTTTTTTTGCAACTCACCCTCATGGAGTTTTTCCAAAGCAGTCAACCTAGTTTTCATAGCAATAATAACTCCTTATTTTACACTCATTTCATCAGCTCATGTACTTTTACATTAAAGCACATAATTAGAGTGACAGATACATTGCCACAAAAAGGTGTGGGAATAAACATGACTATTTCTAGGTAATGTGCAACTCCAGCATGGGAGCAGCGAGGCACCCATGAGCTGAGTGCTCCTGAGCCCTAGTGACCAGTACATTTGGTGGGGATAGGGGCTAGTGAATCAGCTAGCTGCAGGCTGGTTACCAATGTCTACTGTATAAACCACATCCATTACCATGAAGTGACTGATTCAGGGCTTGGCCTAGTTGGTCAGACATGCTTAGACAGGCCAGCACCCCAAAAGTAGGCCAGACTATAAAATAGTTGTGATTTTCAAAATGTTTCAAAACACTAAACCTGTTTTCTCCCCCCTGTGGATGAACAGGATTTTCCTGCCTGTTTTCATGTATAAACAAGTTGATTTATGGACCTAAATCATCGGATCATAGAGAAACATGCCTTCTGTTTCCTTGTAGGTGAAAACTGCCCTTCTGGATGCTGGTCTAGGCCAGACCTTAAAATTTAACTTTTGCTTTGGTGCCACCAAGTGGTTAGTTTTGAGGTGCCACTTTTGAGAAGACGGCTTGGCAAATACATACAAATACATAATGATAAAAAAAAAAATCTGGGAAGAATAGGTGGATTACAGGGGATTTTTAGGGTGGTAATAGTATTGTATGTGATCCTATACTGGTGAATATATATTATTATATATTTCTTCAACCTGTAAGAATATACAACACCAGGAGTGAACCCTAATGTAAACTATGGACTTTGGGCAATAATGATGTGTCAGCTTTGTAAGTTTCAAAAAGGTTTTTTATTTTTTTTTCAATGTATCAGAGTTGTTCATTTTTTCAGGGCTGTATCATACTCACCAAACTTATAAGAGGCACATGTTGGTAAGTCAGAATGCCAATATATTACTTTACAATTATTTTATTTATTTATTTATTTTTTTGAGACAGAGTCTCGCTTTCTTGCCCAGACTAGAGTGAGTGCCGTGGCGTCAGCCTAGCTCACAGCAACCTCAAACCCTGGACTCAAGCGATCCTCCTGCCTCAGCCTCCCGAGTAGCTGGGACTACAGGCATGCGCCACCATGCCCGGCTGATTTTTTTTTTATATATATCTTAGTTGGCCAATTTCTTTCTTTCTATTTTTTTTTTATAGTAGAGACGGGGTCTTGTTCTTGCTCAGGCTAGTTTCGAACTCCTGACCTCGAGCAATCAGCCCGCCTAGGCCTCCCAGAGTGCTAGGATTATAGGCGTGAGCCACCACGCCCGGCCACTTTACAATTATTATAGAAATGTATATGTAGTGGTGGACAAAAACACAGGTGTTAGATGGGCTGTTCATTTTCCACCCTGTAGGAAATTTATATGAGAGGATGAATTATAAAGGGTAGGTTGCTTGGTGAGCTCTCAGTGGGCGGGGTCAGTGTGGGGTGGAGCTGCTTAGGTTATTGTTAGTACTGTTAAGCTGTGGCTGTCTTCACCACTTTACGGACGTACACGTGACTCTAGACTGGCAGCACTCACACTGCTGATGACAGATGGACTTAATCGTTTTCTCTGGGCACTCTTTTTGAAACTCTATGCCGAGCACATGAGAATCCTTTTTCCCTCAGGATGCAATGTAACCGCCAAGGCCGTGCTGGAGGCTTGCTGACACAGCTCTAGTCTCCTGAGAATCCATTCAATCACCAGGAGTAGCATTTGGGTGTTCCCAGAACTCATCAGCCACCATTTATAGGTTTTTGCTTAGGGGGACCTGGTGTACTCATTGCATGATAATTTTTAATAATTTCATTCTCAGAGGAAAACTTAATGTTTTAGTGAATTTTTTCCTGAATGTAGGTTAAAACTGATATGCAAAATCCTTGATCGCTTTGGCATAGATTCCCAATAGCAAAACAGTACTTGGCTGAAGATGAGAATTATTCTAGGTTCTAAGTAAGCAAGAATGCATTCTTGTGGGCCACTCGATGTCTGTCTCTTTTTTTTTTGGAGACAGAGTCTCACTTTGTTGCCCAGGCTAGAATGAGTGCCGTCTCGTCAGCCTAGCTCACAGCAACCCCAAACTCCTGGGCTCAAGCAATCCTCCTGCCTCAGCCTCCCGAGTAGCTGGGACTACAGGCATGCGCCACCATGCCCGGCTAATTTTTTCTCTATATATTAGTTGGCCAATTAATTTCTTTCTATTTATAGTAGAGACGGGGTCTTGCTCTTGCTCAGGCTGGTTTCAAACTCCTTACCTTGAGCAATCCGCCCACCTTAGCCTCCCAGAGTGCTCGGATTACAGGTGTGAGCCACCGCTCCTGGCCTCTATGTCTGTCTCTTGACAGCTTTGCATAGACCTCACCATCCACTCTTATTTTCTGACCTGCCTGTGTCTCCTCACCGGAGCTCAGTTGTCTCCAGTTCTTTGGTGTGGCATCCCTCTCCCCATCCACCTCTTGCCTTGCCCCAAACTGCTGCCACATAGAGTCCTCAGTTAAGGGGTTTAGGGATGTTTCAAGAGACTGTGGTTGAAATCTTGGTGGCCTGCAATTGGAATCTGACCCACAGATCTCTTTTATTTTTGCCAACATGTTGTTTTTAAAAGTTTGACTTAATTGCCTAAACTTAAAAAACTTAAAAATCGAGAGATTCATAAAAGACTCTTGAGTATCCAGTTTCTTTGCAAAAAAGTAGATCCGGGTGTGCAGGGCCTGCATTCCCACAGGGTAGTAAGTTGTGGGACTGGCCTGCATTATCCTTTCCATTATCCTTGGTCCCTGCCCTTCCCTTTCACTCATTTATGTTTCTGCTTGGTATTGGGGGTGACTCTTGGTGCACTGAAAAAAAAAACAAAAAACAATACACAACAGAAAAAACAAGCATAAGGAAAGGAGTGGCTTCACGTGGACTCTAACTCCTTTCTTTATCTTTGCTGTTGGAGAATTCCTGCCTTGGAACCTGCTCCCAGGCGTTTTTCCTTTAGGAATCTGGCTCTCTTAGTATGCCATCTCTGATTTTATTACTTCCAAGTGATAAAATTGCTTCCAAGAAGTGTGGGGCTCGAGTGTTGTTGAGGAAAACATATAGTAGGATCTGGAATGTGGTCTGTACCCGTAAGACCTGGTTTTGAATCCCAGCCTCATTTCTTACTGAGTTTAAGTCCCTTATCTGAAAAATGAGAGTTATAACACGCCTTGTAGATTGGTATGTATTAAATAAATGGAATTTTGCACATAAAGCATCAGGTAGAGGGCAGGTCCTCAAATTATAGTGCCTCTGTCCTCTGTTCTTTCAAGACCTGATTCTTCCCCTTCTTCATGACCTTGATGAAGTCCAGCTGAACTTTTTCTGCTGCTTTCTTGCCACTTACCCTTCTTTACTCTTCTAATATAGCTAATGGTTTTATTTTTTCTTACTTATAACTTTCAGTCTTTCCCATCTGTACATTTCACGTAATCCGTTTTCTTTTTGTAGTCAGAACTCTCTCATACAGATTCCCACATGAGAATAATGGATGAGAGGTGAATTTATTTTAGTTTGGGAAATTCTATAAGAAGGCATGCCTTTTATCATATCTCTACAATAATTATCTATAGTTTTGTGATAAGAACTACAGTAGCTTTCACAGCAATCTGTTGGAATTCTTCTTGAATATATGTACCTTTCTGCATTCTTTGTATATTTATAGAAATAGGGCCAAGGTCAAAAGCTGGAAAGTCATCAGCAGAAAAAATTGGTACCGGAAGGGAAACTCTTCGCCTGAGGCCAAAAGGTCATGCCACCATAGAAGAAGTGGTATGTTATGTTTATTTACTTCCTATTCTGCTTGGAAATGTATAGATATTCATGTTTATTAGAGCTGGAAATAAAGGCAAAAATGACAAAGTTAAATAAAATGCCATTCATTCTAATTAAAACATGGACTTTTAGTTCATTATTTAAGCAATATGGAAATTACTGAAGGCATTTAAGGAGGAAATATAGAAACTAAGTGTGTGAGAAATTATGACCTATAGAAATTCTCAGCTGCCTGCAGATGACTTTTCTAGAATCCGTAGACATCTGGACTGTCTCAAAAACTGAGCAGAATTCGTCTCAGAGCTACCTGTAGGACTAAAGATACTTAAGAAGACTTTGATAATGAAAGATTATATTTATAAATTCCTCTTCTCAAGTACAAGATTTTGTACTCATCTTTGACCCTTCTCTTTTTCATCCCACATCGCTTCCATCAGCAAATCCTGGTGGATCTACCTCATCGAGAGACCTGAGTCCAACCTCCACTCTCTTCCACTGTCCCACCACCATGGCCCGAGGCACCATCATCTCACCCTGTGTATTGCTGTCACCTTCTGTTTACTCTCCTCGTGCTCCTCCTTGCCCTCTTTCCATTTATGCTCAGCAGCAGCCAGAATTATCCTTTAAAAATACAAGCGAGGTTATGTTACTTTTCTGTTCACAACCCTCTGGTGGCTTCCCATGTCTTTCAGAATAAAAGCTAAATTCCTCAGAGAGACCAACATGATCCCGCATTTCTTCTCTGATCTCACTTCCTACCACTCCTGCCTGGCTTCCTCTGCATCAGCCACATCAGTTTCCTCCCTGTCCCCAAATGCTGCAGTTGTATCCCCACCCCAGGGTCTCTGTGTTGCTGTTTTCTTGGCCTGAGTGCTCACGTCAAAGGCCTTTTCTGAGTGTCCTGTATAAATAGCAATTCCTCCACCCCTCCTACTGCCCACTTTCCCATGCCCTTGTTTTCTTTTCTTTCTTTCTTTCTTTTTTTTTTTTTTGAGACAGAGTCTCACTCTGTTGCCCAAGCTAGAGTGCCGAGGCATCAGCCTAGCTCACAGCAACCTCAAACTCCTGGCCTCAAGCAATTCTCTTGCCTCAGCCTCCCGAGTATCTGGGACTACAGGCATGCGCCACCATGCCTGGCTAATATATATATATTTTTTTCTATTTTAGTTGCCCTGCTAATTTATTTCTTTTTTAGTGAGATGGGGTCTTGCTCTTGCTGAGGCAGGTCTCGAACTGCTGATTTCAAGCGATCCTCCCTCAGCCTCCCTGAGTGCTAGGATTACAGGCCTGAGCCACCACGCCCAGACTGTTTGTTTTCTTCAAAGCACTAAATACCGTAGGACTCATGTCTTTATTTATTTAATTTTGTCTGTTGCCTAGCTCCTTTGCTCATGTCTTGTTCGCTGCTGTGTCACCACCACCTAGAATAGGACCTGATATATCAAAGGAACTCAGATCTTTGCTGAATTAATTAATTAATTAAGGATTCATTTTAGCTTGAAAAAAGCAAGGGTTTTGCTGATGGACTGACTGTGTCTGTATAAAAGTCAGTGTTTGAGTGAAAAACACTAGAAGGCGAAGAGACAAATGAAGGCAAGAAGGGTGGAAGAAGAGAACAGCAGGGTTGGGGTGGCAGTGGTGAAGATTCTGAGTGACAAGCAGCAGGTCCGCACGCAACAGCGACGGAAATGGGAATGAAGTCATCCCACAGGTGAAGGGAAGTTGGGTAGGTGTCTGAGGGCCGGGAACTCCTGCGGGCATGGGCACAGGCCTCTGTGTGTGTGACACTCTCCCAGGATTCCCATGTGTTTGAAGAACAAAGGACACAGGTGAGCAGTCGGGAGGCTGTCTCACAGAGTGGGATCCCAGAGCTGGTTGGGTGACAGTGCCCCAGGGTCAGCCATGGGAGTGGTTGGTTAGAGCAGACATTCAAGCGCCCATGAGGCCAAGGTAGCCTTAGGAATATCTGAGCCACTCAGGGTGTTATCAGCTTTGGGGAATCCGGAGGAAGATTCTGAGTGGGGTGCTTTGGTTCTGGGGGAAAGAAAGGATTGATCAGGAAGCAAATGGCAGCTAAGAGACCTGGGAAAGCCAAAAGCATTTTGCAAATCAGATGATGAGGCACGTGAAGAAAACCCAGGACAGTGACTTCTGGTCATTTTGAGCCTTTGCTTTCCCACTTGCCCAACACACTGCCTGGCATATTGTGGAGGGCCAGTAACTGTCTATTGAAGGACCGGACAAACCCCAGTGGAAGAATAGAGGGAAGGGGCCAGCAGTGGGGAGCAAGGAGAAGCTCAACTCTGTCTTTTCTCAGGGCTTCGAGGAAAAATGGGCAGACCTTTAAACAGCTCGCAAAGGAAGAAGCGTCTGCATGTTCTAATAGCATAATTCATAAATATTTACTTATGTAAACACAAGCCACATATAAGTTGCTGGGATGAAAAAGAGTAGCTTAAAGTCTATCTGGGGACATAGGAAAGATTCATTCAAAGATAAACATCTAAAAATCCATTCCTATTTTCATAGCCTGTTTAATTAAATAGGGCAATTAAAAATAGCTCATAATGAAAGGAAAAAGCTGGTTTGGTGCTAATATTAAATCTGATACAAATGACCTACAATTTAAATTTCAAACACTTAAGGATTTAAAGGATTTACAGGATTTGAAACAAATCACTCCCTTATAACCTAGCACAAATGCTGAAAACTATAAGATACTGCACTTGCATACCTCGTACTCTATTCAATATGTGCTTGTTGAGACAGGCACAGTCTAGGTGCTGATGATGCGAAGATGCATAACGACCTTGTTTCTCCTCTAAAGGGAGAGAGGCATGAAAAGAAGCTCTTACAGGCCAGCGGGACAGGGTTAATGAAAGTATGTACAGGATATACACTGTCACGAAGAAGGGACTCATCAACTGTTATCTGTGATAGGGAAAGAAAGGAAGTCAGGGAGAGTTTCCTTCTAGAAGAAATGAGTGAGTGGGTTCAAAATGAGAAGAAGAAGAGTATTCTAGGCATGAAACAATGATGGGCTTGAGGGCCTTGTAAGCCTCCCATGAGATTGGGGAATCGGGTACTGGGAGTATCTGGTTGGGGGTGATAAGGCTGAAGGTTTAGGCTGGGGTTAGGAGGTGAAGGGCCTGGGCATCATGAGAGAGCCATTTAGGAATTGCAAGGAGAGCAACACAGTCAATTTTGTGTTGTAGAAAAATCCCTTGGTTCTAGGGGATTGGTTGTGGAGCAGGATGGATTTGAGAACCTGAAGACTGCAGGCAGGGAGACAAATTAAGAAACCTCTGCAAACCAGAAAAGGTGAGGACGCAACCCAGGCAAACAGAACGTGGGTAGAGAAGAGGTATACATCAAGAGCTAATCAATAGCTAATAGGAGCTATTCAAATGGTGAAATATTGGTGGCCATTGTGTATAAGGATACTGACACCTGTGACCATCACTTATAATATGACTGGATAGATACAAAGGTTAATACCTAGATTACTTTGCATAGCCGGTTGCTTTACACAGACAATTCAAAATACACTGTAATGAAGGCAAGAGCAATATGTCGTCTCTGTTATTGTTTTTAAGGCTTAGTTCTTGTAAATAAAAATGTGAGAAAATTGTACTAATATCTTCAAGGAAATAAATTTTCATTTGCTATAAAATGCCTGATTTTAGGCCGGGCGCGGTGGCTCACGCCTGTAATCCTAGCTCTCTGGGAGGCTGAGGCGGGTGGATTGCTCGAGGTCGGGAGTTCGAAACCAGCCTGAGCAAGAGCGAGACCCCGTCTCTACTATAAATAGAAAGAAACTAATTGGCCAACTAATATATATAAATGGTGGCTCATGCCTGTATCCGAGCTACTTGGGAGGATGAGACAGAAGGATTGCTTGAGCCAGAGTTCTGAGGTTGCTGTGAGCTAGGCTGACGCCATGGCACCCTCTCTAGCGCCTACGGCAACAAAGCGAGACTATGTCTCAAAAAAAAAAAAAAAAAAAAAAAAAAAAATGCCTGATTTTAATACATTTTGAGACTACAAAGCAACATATAGTTATAACAATATTAAAAGTAATGTGAAATTCTTACAATCTAACTAATCACGAATTCTATATTTGCACCTAGAGTTGAGTATTTAACATCTTTGGGCAATTCCTTTTTTTAGCTATGAAACCATTTAAAACCAAGTTTTGAAATCAACTGAACTTAGAATCAGAATGTATCCAATAGTAAACCCAAAATTTAAAAGAATATTAAGACTTATACAATCATGTTTCTTTTTATGAAACTTTTAATGATAGTTTTAGGAAGAGCAAAAATGTTTTGGTACCATTGATGCCTAACACAAAAAGTATTTTAAAAATGCTATTTCAGGTCAGGTGTGGCGGCTCAAACCTGCAATCTCAGCACTTAGAGAGACCAAGGCAGGAGGGTCTTTTGAGGCCAGGAGTTTGAGACTAGCCTGGGCAACATAGCATGACTCCATCTCTACCCCACCAAATAAATAAATAAATAAATAAACAAAAAATAAATAATTTCATTATTATCTCATTTTTATAAAATTTCCCTTTTTAAGGGTATTTTTGTAATGTATACAACATATCAATATGGTAATACATGTATATAATTTATAAGTGGTACAATAAAATTAACTAACACAAATCATAAGGATATATGTTCAGAAATGTTTTACTATTAGGGTGAGCCATCAAAAGTTTGGAGATGCTGGCCTGCACAATAGAGACCAAAATCCTCATGGCAAAGGACCCCTTCCGACCTAGTCATGTTTGTCACTGTGTTCTCCAGTCACATGGGACTTCTTGCAGTCCCTCTGACTTGATGTCATCTTCTCTCAGACTCTGTTACATCAGGTAGACTTTGCCTATCTATTGCCTTCTGCTTGACGTGCCCTCCCCTGCTTATCTCCTGTTCATCTTGCAGTTGTTAAGTCACCTTCTTTTGGAAATCTTCCATGACTATTAGAGAAATAAAGTTGCTTCCTCCCTTGTGATGCTTCTGTACCTTTTTTATGCTTTAAAAATTGTTATACAATTATTTATTTTCACATCTGTCCTCATTTCTAGATTGTTAGCTACTTAAGAACTGTGTTCCTGGCTTTTCTGTTTTGAATCTGTAACACTTAATGCTGACACTAAATATAAGTATTTGCTGTATTGATTTGTATTTAGTTACAGAGCACATTGTAGAAGATCTATTTCCATTAAAATTAGCTGAAGTATACAACTATGACCTGGCTGCACATCAGATTTCTCCTTATATATGCCCCACAAATCATGAAATTTCAATATAAATGTAATGTATTATGTTATTTCTCTCTTCTTTGATACAGCCTTCTGAAACCAAAGCAAAGGCAATTGAAAAGATTGATGATCTTCTTGAATTGTACATGGGAATTCGAGATATTGATTTAGGTAAGATTATACTATTTTAAAAAGTCTTATATCTCTTACTTTGATGGAACTTAATGCTTACTTATGACTTGTTTGCACTTATAGCCAATTATACTTTTTAAGATAAAAAGTATTTGTGGAGTGATGAATGATGAATATAAAGATAATAAAGAATAATGAAAAAAAGTCCTGATCCTTATCACTTACTAGGTATGAGGTCTTAGGGCCAGGTCAACACTTAAAAATTTTGGTTAGTTCTTAGTCTATAAACTGTGACTAATAATATCTTTTCCAGTCATGTTTTATGGATTTAAAAAATATATTTGAAAATAATTTTATAAATGATACATATGAAAAGCATAATTATTTGATACAATCAAATTTATACTGATTAAATTGTATATTTATTATGATATTAAAACTGCGCACCATTAAATAGAGCTACTGAAATCCCATAAAACAATGAATCAGAAATATGAAGAAGACACATTTGGCATATGACTAATATGGGCATTTGAGCAATTAAATTTCTGTGTATTTTTTATGTCATTATTAAGATGTCAGGGTCTTGGTTTATTAGTGAATACTCTATTGGTTACAAATGACAAAAACTAAAATCAAAATGAAACAAAAAAACCCTATCTCCAACAAGTTTAAGGAAAAAAGGAGAAATTTATTGGTTCTTATAACTGAAAAGTACTGAGATAGATCTTGGCATCAAGAAGCTAGATCCAGAGTTCTCATGCTGTTATCAGGATGTGATTTCTCTTCTCTCAATTCTGGTTTCATTTTAGGCCCTCATGGTATCCCTCCCTGGTCCCTTCAGGCCCTCCCTCATAGAGTCAGAATGACTGCCATGGCTCCACCCTCTACATCCTCTTGGCATCAAGGACAATGGGAAAGAGGGAGGACCTCTCTTAAGAGAGATGACTTGAGCCATTCAAACAAAATGCCCAAGATTGTCTCTGATTTTTCTGGTTGGCTGAAGTGACCCACTGATGTCAGGAGAGGGTTAGGTCTGGGTCAAATGCCCTACCTCTGGGGCTCAGAGTAAGCCTGAAATACAAGGGTCAAGAGGATGAAAGGCCTGGCATTTCCTGTGTAGAAGCAAGATATCCCTTCCCTTAAGAAGGGAAAGTGGGATGCTTGGTGGGGAAAAGAGTAAATGTATACCCCAGCGGAGGAGTTTGTACCTGTAAGCATTTGTGGGTGTGTGTTTGAATCAGGTACTTAATACATTTTTTAAAGTCAAGGACTTGACTGTTTTGTTTACCTGCTACCAGTTGGAGTAGCTGAAGCTCATTCATCCTTCTCTTTTCTTTTTTCTTTCTTTCCTTTTTTTTTAGACACAGGCCTCAGCTATGATATCCTTCTCTTTTCTATTTCCACTCATCTTCCATTTTCCTTTTGGAATTGTCAAAAGACAAGATTTAAAACCAATTTAGCTTAAAGATCTTAAATTGCTTTTATTTGCAATTCTAGAATCAGGCAACAGCCTGTTCTATAAAATAGAATGGGTGTTCTGATGAGCTGAGCAGAGGAGTTTGGCTTTATAGACAGAAAACTGCTGAAAAAAGCAGAAACAGAGCAAGAAGCAGATTGGCCATTTTAAGGTTGCTTTCCTTATAAAGGTTAAAGCAGAGGGGACTTGCTTATGCCAGCTAAAACTGGCCTGTTTGGGGATTTGGCTATGATATCTCCCTTTCCTGATTTCTTAGATCAGATAAACAATTTAGTTGTGGCTTGGTGAATGGAACTTCAGCATGAGTAGTTCCATTTTGGTTTCGTCTGTTGGGCCTAGTGCAGGAGTCCAAACCAATGGCCTCCTATAAATTTTATTTGACAAAATCTGTTTATTTTTTCTTGCCTGCTTGAAATTTAGAATTTTTATACTGAATGTACAGATGATGTCTGTAACTGAAAAACATTGGTACTCTGTTTCTTCCTCCTTGAAGAAAAATAAAAAATTTGCATGTAACAAATTTGTGCTCTAAGCAGACAAGATGTTAAAGCTGAAAACCAGTGTCTTACAATTTTTCTTCTCAGTTCTTTTGCATTTGGAAAAATATCAGGATGTGCATATGTGAGATGGGCCTGTGACGGATGTGCAAATGCATGTGCAAATGAGGGTATATGGGATTTAGGAATGGTAGTACCCTTTAACTCTACTTAACGAGGTAGTATTACTGGCAGAATAATATAATGCATTTCTATTCAGTCGAGAAGTTTTCAAATAGCATAACTGTATGACTATTAGAAGATTCAGGAACTAACATATCAATTGCTAGATTTTTTTTTTTTCCAAGTAAAAAGTATTTTACTCAATATTTTCCTGGAAGCAGTAGCCATGCAATCAGAGTAAACAGCACCAGGACCAAAAAGATATAAACTTTGAAAAAATAAACCAAAAATTAATGATATTTTCATCTGATACAATTACCCTGGAACAACATTAGGCTCAACTGTAAAAATCATAAGAAAGCTCAGAAAGTGTAGTAGACACACAGATAATATAGAATAATTAGTGGCCCTAAAGAGTTAGACATTCTGTCCTTATAATATCACAAATGTAGTAAAATTGATACATTTCATAAATACAAATTTATCAATATATTTGCAATTTGTAAGTAAAGATAATTTTTCCCTGAGCTTCATTTAAAAGAAGGTAAGAAAATATATCATGATTCCTAGTGGCAAGATAGAATATAACAAAGTTTTAATGCATTCCCATGAACTCTGTGAAAATAGTGGAATTCTGATCCAAACAATTGCTGGATTTTGAGCTCAAATTCAGGCGAACCACAACTTTGAAACATGGGAACTTAAAACACTTCTCAGCTTCAGAACTTATGTTTGAATACAGGCCTTATAGTTACTTAAGTATAAATTGAGAATAGTTAATAGTTAAATAAATTAGTTTGCCCTTTTGTTATTAAAATATATAAGTATACAGGGTAGAGTGTTGGACAATAGTACAAATAATTATAAATGAATTAAGAAACAATTTTTTTTCTTTCTTTTTTTTTTGGGGTAGAGTCTCACTCTGTTGCCCTGACTAGAGTGCAGTGGCATCGTCATAGCTCACTGCACCCTAAAACTCCTGGGCTCAAGTGATTCTCCTGCCTCAGCCTCCTGAGTAGCTGGGACTATAAGCATGCGCCACCACACCCAGCTAATTTTTGTATTTTTCCTTTGTATTCTTTGTGTTTTTTCTATCTTTAGTTCAGACAGATTCTTGCTCTTGCTCAGGCTGATCCAGAACTCCTGGCTTCAAGTGATCTTCCCACCTTGGCTTCCCAGAGTGCTGAGATTATAGGCATGAGCCACTGGATCCAGCCAATAATTTTTTAAAAATCAGTTTTCTTTTACTCTGAGAAACTCAGGGCACTAAACACTCCTCACAATTTCCTTGTAAATTAACCAGCAATTCCTTTGTAAGGTTAATTAATCATCTGTAGCAAATTCCTTCAATTGGCATGAAAAGTTGTTATTATTACACATGATTAGCAATGTGATTAGTCGCCTAGGGAGGTAAAATGTAAGGAAAATAATTATTTGAAGAATGTTAACCACTGGTAAATTGGGAATTTCTTTCATTATTCAGATCTGATTAGCATGAAATATAAATCACAAATGTGGCACTTATTTAACATACAAATAAATACATTTACTTGTATGTATTCCTAGTATTTCTTAGCTTTCAGAAATGTTAATTCTTAATATGAATTACGTGGATATCACATTATTCTGGACTTGTTAATATAAACATATATTTAAAAAATTATAGGCTGGGTGTTGTGGTTCATGCCTGGATTCCTAGCTAGCACTCTGGGAGGCCGAGGCAGGAGGACTGCTTAAACTCAGGAGTTTGAGACTAGCCTGAGCAAGAGTGAGACCCCATCTCTACTAAAAATAGAAAAATTAGCTGGGAGTGGTGGCATGCATCTGTAGTCCCAGCTACTGTAGACCCACTTACTTGGGAGGCTGAGGCAGGAGGATCACTCCAGCTGAGGAGTTTCAGGTTACAGTGAGCTATGGTGCTCTAGAGCAAGACTCTGTCTCAAAAAAAAAAATATAAAAATGATATACAATAAATATTTAAACATTATCCTCAAAAAGGATTAGAGACATTTATTTTATAAAAAAAAACAATAAAAATAATTGCTCACAGTTCTGTGGCTGGAAGTTCAAGATCAAGGTGCCAGTATTCAGTGTGTGGTGAGGGTCCTCTTATCGTTGTCTCCTTGCAGAAAGGCAAAGAGCAAAATGGGATGATTCTATTCCCTTAAGTTTTTTATTATTATTTTCAGTTTGTATATATATAACATATATCATTTTTAAATTTTATTGTATGAATTTTAAGGTTCACGAAGTGTAGTTCATTACATGGAATATTGCATGATGGTGAAACTGGGCTTGTGTATCATCTATCCAATAGTGTATACGTGCCCATTAAGTAATCCTCATCCCTGCCCATCCCTACCCTCCTGATCTCCAATGTTATATTCCATTTCTATGCCATGTTTCACATTGTTTAGCTCCCAGTATCAGTGAAATGTGTAGTATTTGCTTCGCTTCCTAGTTTAATAGATATATATATATAAAAATATCAACACAACCACAATTAATATAATAATAGATTTTGAGACAGAGTCCGCTTGTTGCTCAGGCAGAGTTGAGGTGCTATGCGACAGCCAGCTCACAGAACCTCAGACTCCTGGGCTCAAGCAATCCTCCTGCTCAGCCTCCTGAGACTAGGACTACAGGCATGTGCCACCATGACCGGCTAATGTTTTCTATGTATATTATTTGGCATTAATTTCTTTCAGTTGATAGTAGGAACGGGTCTCCTCTTGCCTCAGGCTGTTTCAAACTCCTGACTCGAGCAATGTCCGCCCGCCTTGGCCTCCAGAGTGCTAGGATTATAGGCGTGAGCCACCACGCCCAGCTCTGTTTCAGTTATTTGCACTACAGATAATGGCCCCCAAGTTTGCCATTTCATCTTTTTTTGTGTCTGAGTA